ACACACACACACACACACTAACAAGCACAAACCAGTTGATGTGTCTTTAATTTTACAGCTTATCTCAAAAGACACAGTGTCAGCCATAAAAAACTCAAATACAAGCATCCATGTCTACAAAGCACATTAGGAAGATGAGAAGTTGTTTCTGTCTGTACTGGACAATGGACTGTGGTGTAATAACAGGAACAAAACATTCAGGGATTCTCTGTCTTTGATCTCCTTTTCTTCTCAGAGTTTACAGCACCAACAAAACGGACTACACAAAAGAGTTCAGTGAACTGTTATAACATGATCTAAACTCATTCTAGAAAGAGATGCAAAACTGAACTGTGTAAACACTGACAAATAAGTCCACCACAAAATGGCAGTCCTGTCATAGTTTACTCACCCTCATGTCATTCCAAACCTGTGATTTCTTTCTTCTGTGTAACACACAAAAAAAGATACGTTGAAGAAAACCAGTTTAGGTTCCCATTGCCTTCCATTATATTTTTTGACCATTCAAATGGAAGTCAAAATAACTTATTTTGTGTTCCACAGAAGATAGAAAGTCATGCATGTTTGGAACGACAAGAGGAGGAGTAAATGATGACAGAATTTTCAATTTTGTGTGAACTATCCCTTTAAATAATATTGTACAAAATATGGCAATCATTCAGTACCATGGTATACAGCATATCAAAGTACCACGGTCCCATCTGATACCACTGTACCATGGTACTTCCACAGCAATTTTTTAAGGGACATTTTAGGCTATCTGCTAAGAGAGGGCTCACCGCTCTGCTATAGAATTGATTTAATTTTAAAAATTAAAAAGACCAAATAAAATATCTTCTGGCTTTATGGTTTTTTGAAGGAGAAGTGAGGTGATAGATGTTCAAATGAACTATAGCAGTCTGTTGGAGATCTGTGTAAAACAGCATGGGACAGTGGTAATGGAAAAGGAAAATCAAGGCAATATTATGAGATGTCACTGTGCTAAAGCTTGTACATTAAAACCACATAACCAATGATCAAAACTGTGTAGGAAACTAACAGCTATGGATGTGCATACAGTTGTTTAATTTCTTTTGTATTATATTTTTTAAATTATATTTTTAATATTATAAATAATATTAACATTAAAGTGCACTGTCTGAAAATCTGAAGTGAATAAAAGCAAAGCTAATTTAAATGTGTGTGCAAATGGTTTTTGTTATGTAACTACGTTCAACAAATCTTCTACAAAAATAACACACAGTGTATTTTAAGTGTAAACGCAGGCTGCTTTTTAAATATTAAGCAATCTCATTAAAAGCACAGATGACAGGTAAAGTGTCTGTTGTTGCGGCAGCTGCTCAGAGAAGTCTAGATAGAGAAAAAATGTGAATAATATATAATAAATAATAATATATTAGAAAAATGCAACAAAAAAAAAAAACATACACGTATGAAAATAAGAAGTGTTTCCAAATCAGCATATTAGAATGATTTCTGAAGGATCGTGTGATGCTGAAGACTGGAGTAAGGGCTGCTGAAAATCCAGCGTTGCTGTCACAGGGATAAATTACATTAAATAAATATTAAAGTAGAAAACTGCTATTTTAAATTGTAATAATATGTCACATTATTACTGCAAACAAATGCAGCCTTATTGAGCGTAAAAAAAAAAAAATCTTAATGACCCCAAACATTTCAGTGTTAGTGCTTTTAGCAATTTCTTTTTCTTTTTGTCACTCTGTTTTCACAAACGTTCACTTTCTGTGCCTCTCCCATTTCCTCTCAGCACTCCCTCTATGTAAAACACTACAGAAATAGTTTGGACTTTCTCTCTGCAGGCCTCTATTTGCTATTGTCCATTGATCAGTTCTGAAGGTGAGGCCCTGAGGGACCAAACTACAGTTTTAACATTCAGCTACATGGCACAGTGTCTGGCTGCCACCGCCACAGTCCACAGACGAATCACCGCTCACAGAAGCCGGGAAAGAAATATGTGTGCGCTTTTGCATTAAAGGCTCCACACAAAGCAAAGAGGTGGCAAATAAAGATATTCACAGATTAAACCGGCATATTCTGCCGCGATAAAGCACATTTCCTTCATCTTCTCCGACTCGGGTTGATTCGGGTTGTGTAGGAAATTCCCCGCAGATCCGTCTTTGTCAGCTTCTTTAGTAGCGCTACCGTGACACGCTTTGAAAGCCACACACAGAGCGGCACTGATACACAAGCCCTCTCTGTCTTCAGTTTGCACTGCATAACCGTAAACCCCATCTCCCGGGACAGAGGGTGTGAAGGGCACTCCTGATGGGTGATATTGATGTGCGTTTGAGTGCGTCCGCTCAGGGATGCCAGTCTGCCAAGAGCCTAGGCTTCAACAAAAGTTACACAGACACTGTTACACAGACACCTTTCCCTTCTCTGTGCCTCACTATCTCTCCTATAAGCCCCGTCAGGGTGAGTTATGTGGTTTTGCATCTCTCTGAATAACACCATACATCAACCAATCAGCTGGAGATGGAGTCGTCGCCTTCCCGTGGGGGAGAGAAAAGTGAACGAGTGTTACAGAGGGAGAACAAGAGAGTGGGCAGAAGTTATGGCACGGTTATTTTATTGGAAGACGTTCACACGCTAAATAAAAGAGGAAGACTCTCATACTTCACGCAAAGCATCGATAAAGCTTTCAGGCACAACAGATCCTAACAAAAGTCTGGCTCCTCCACTGCCATATTTCATTCTGGGAAAGAAAGGGAGAGAGGAGGAGAGACACAAACAAAAATAAGACTGCATTTATTATCCAGCATGTACGTGAGCACATTAAAGGGGTCATATCATAGATTCCATTAGAAGTCCATTTACTATTTGTTTGTGCCAAAAACAGACCGTTTTTTTTTTTTTTGTGACTGTAAGAAGTGTCATTTCATCAATATTTACAGTTTCAATTTGAGGTTAGTGAGATTTTTTTTTTTAAACAAATTAAAATTCAGTATTGATCAAAAGTTACAGCAAAGACATTTTTATAAAAGATTTCTATTTCAAATAAAAGCTGTTCTTTTGAAGTTTCTATTCATCTAAAAATGCTGAAAAAGGTTGCTGAAAAATGCTAAAAGTTTTTCAGAAAACTGTGAAAAGATATTATGCAGCACTTAAGCAACTATTTTCAACATTGATAAAAATAAGTAATGTGTCTTGAGCACCAAATCAGCATATGAGAATGATTTCTGAAGGATCATGTGACATTGAAGTCTAGAGTAATGTTTGCTGAAAATTCAGCTTTGCCATCACAGGAATAAATGACATTTTAAAATATATTCAAATAAAAAAACATTTTACAGTGCAACAATATTTCACAATATTACAATTTTTACTGTATTTCTAGCAAATAAATACAGCTTCGGTGAGCATGAGACTTCTTTCAAAAACATTTTTAAAAATCTTAAGACCCCAAACTTTTGAATCGTAGTTATTGCACATTTCAATGATGGAAGCAAAAGAACTTTGTAAGAAATCCTATCAAGAGTTAAAAATGTCCACTGTACACTGTAAAAAGTAAAAATGTGCAATGCAGAACTACTAATAGATGAATAACTCAAAAGCTCAAAAGTCAAAAGCTATTTAAATGTACAGCAAATAGTTTAAATTCAACAAAACAGTCCCACTCAGCAAAACTAAAATCATGTAAATCTTATAAACATAATTCTGATTCTTCTCAACTGCCTCTTCATATTAACAACCTGCAGACTACTTCTTGTTTTGCGCAGAATTACAAAAACGTACTTGTCAGGCACAATATTGTCTGTGCCAAGCTAACAGGAGTGGATGCGTACAAATGCGTGCTTCATATTCAGAGGACGTATTGGGCTAAAGTGCATAAAATTACAGTGGACGCTCCCTGTGGCCTTTATCCAAGGCTGTAATGACAATGTTTAGCTGGACAATCAATCACTTACCACGGGAACAACTCTTACATTTCTCACCAAACAACTGACCCAAACTCAGATCCATCCATATCTCTCTATCATCGTTAGATCATTGTATCGTTCTATCCATCCATTCAAATCTACCTCTATCATCCATCCATCCATCCATCGTTAGATTTTATTGTTCATTCATTCTATCTATCAGTCCGTCTGTCAATGGATGTAAATGCAGGGAATGTCAAGAAAAACAGCCACATACATATACATAGAGGTCACAACAGACAGTAATGTGCAGTTTGGGATTAATTAAAGTTGCACTAATG